CTCTTCATTCATTCCTCTATCACTCTTCATACATCCCTCTATCTCTCTTCATTCATCCCTCTATCTCTCTTCATTTATCCCTCTATCCTTCTTCATTCATCCCTCTATCGCTCTTCATTCATCCCTCTATCTCTCTTCATTCATCCCTCTATCTCTCTTCATTCATCCCTCTATCCCTCTTTGATTATATTTTCTTGGTTTCTTTGCAGGAAAACCATCATAAACTTGAGTATGAGGTACATGTGTCATATATTGAGATCTATCTTGAAGAACTGAGAGACCTTCTTGACTTAGAAACATCTAGTAAAGACATACATATAAGAGAGAATGAAAAGGGTGATACAGGTAATGGTGCCTGCAAACACACTACTTGAGATCACTTTTCAAAACTAACCAATCTTCAATGAAGTGTGAAAATTTTACCTGCTGAAGTATTTAATCAGTCAGGACAAATCTTCAACAAACCACTATTATAATAACAAAGCTACTGCAGTAGTCAGTCCTCAGCTGACTGAAGAGATAAAAATCCCTGTACCTTTGATTGCAAATAACTTTTCTGAAAGTCTAATTTATTATTTACTATAATAAGAACCTTTTTCTCATTGGTTTCTTTTGTCTTATTCTATTAACATATAAACACTCCTTTTTATCACCTCTTTCACTCCGACGAAGGACTACCATCCGAAACGTCAGTTTTTTCATCTTTAAATGATGTATAATTTACATCCCTTTTATCATTGCTTTTTTCATTAGAAACAACAATACAGCTCACATTAGTTATTAGCTAGTTATTTATTATTATTTATTATAATTATTTATAAAAAGATATATAATTTGTATACATAGAAATGATATAACTTATGCCTCAAGGATCCACACTACTTTGTGATGACAATTATTTCAGCTTGCTCTTTCTTATGGTTCTGTATATTTTAGATATTAGTCTTTCTTTTGAAAGTCAGTGATGGCCATATATGTTGCCCCAGGAGATAGATAGATAAACTTTATTAGAAGTGTCATTTACCTAAAATAATAAGCTAATTGGATGTAGATGTAGGGTTTTTCTGCTTGCACCTGATTAGTAAGATTGGCTGAGTGAGGACACAGCTAGCTAACATATCCCATCCTTAAATAACCTCTGGTCTGATCATCAAAGTCAGGGTATGACTAAGGAGCCTGGATAGTGCTATCTGGTGGATAAATCCTTATCCAGTGGATTAGTCGATACTGTTATCCAATAAATTTATTCACTGAATAAGATTTATCCATTGGATAGCACTATCCAGGCTCTGTACAACCAGGCCCTGGGTGATACCAAATGATGTAGGGTTTTTCTGCTTGCACCTGATTAGTAAGATTGGCTGAGTGAGGACACAGCTAGCTAACATATCCCATCCTTAAATAACCTCTGGTCTGATCATCAAAGTCAGGGTATGACTAAGGAGCCTGGATAGTGCTATCTGGTGGATAAATCCTTATCCAGTGGATTAGTCGATACTGTTATCCAATAAATTTATTCACTGAATAAGATTTATCCATTGGATAGCACTATCCAGGCTCTGTACAACCAGGCCCTGGGTGATACCAAATGATGTAGGGTTTTTCTGCTTGCACCTGATTAGTAAGATTGGCTGAGTGAGGACACAGCTAGCTAACATATCCCATCCTTAAATAACCTCTGGTCTGATCATCAAAGTCAGGGTATGACTAAGGAGCCTGGATAGTGCTATCCGGTGGATAAATCCTTATCCAGTGGATTGGTCGATACTGTTATCCAATAAATTTATTCACTGAATAAGATTTATCCATTGGATAGCACTATCCAGGCTCTGTACAACCAGGCCCTGGGTGATACCAAATAATGAATTTAAAATGCAAATTTAATTTTAAAAAATGCATTGATTGTATGCTTTATTTAACTCACATTTTGTGTTTTATTTTTAGTTTTGATTGGTGCTACAGAACAGTTGGTAGAGACTATAGATGAAGTTATGAGTTATCTAGACACAGGATCTGCAGCCAGACACACTGGAATAACAAACATGAATGAAGCATCCAGTAGATCCCATGCTATATTCACATTATATATAAGTATGTCACATGTATGAAGCATCCAGTAGATCCCATGCTATATTCACATTATATATAAGTATGTCACATGAATAATTAAATATTGGAATGCCATGCACTCAGACTGTACTCTAAGCAAACAGGAATGCAGGAAAGCTATTTTATTTGTATTATTGGGGGTTATTCCACTGTTCCTTCCCATCTGGCATTGCAGCCTAGGTGTATTTTCATTGGACAGTGTGGAACAAAATAGTATTACCTAATGGTCATGTTTTAACTAGTATCATTATATCAAGTGATAACCTCCTTTTGGCAAGGCAAGGGAGTGGCATATTTTGAAGCTAAAACTTACTGATCATATATATTATTTTAGTTTATAACTATTTGTTTGTAGGTCAAAAACCAATGGCTGATTTGAATGAAGAAGACATGTTTGCAGCAAACCAACAGACTACAGACCAGGAACAGGATACCGGTCAGAAAACCTTTCTTCCTGCTATCTTTCCCTATTTGCCATTTGTTTCAATTGCAGTTATTATTATTTTTTTGCTAGACTATAACCTGTTCTAGAGATTTTCTTGCCAATATGATTCGTGACCAAGGGCAGATCCAGGGGGAGGGTCGGGGGGTCATGACCCCCCTGTCATTCCTGAGGTCAAATGGGCTTCCTGTGGTAAAAATGCGACTGGGACTCCTTTGCCCACCAAA